GAACATCTCCTGGAGGAGGTCATGGCAACTCACACCAGTATTCTTGCCTGGAGAATCCCATGGACAGAGGAGACTGGCGGGTTACAGTCCATAGGGCTGCAAAGAGTTAGACAGGACTGAAGCGACTTAGGATGCATGCACAATGACATATATATACCATTATTTTAAAAAAATATATTTATTTATTTGACTGAGCAAGATCTTAGCTGCAGCACGTGGGATCTTCGATCTTTGTTGTGGCACACCGAGTCTTTAATTGTTGCAGCAAAAGTAGAATCTAGTTCCCTGACCAGGGGCGGAATCCCGGGCCCCTGCATTGGGAGTGCAGGGTCTGAGCCACTGAACCACCTGGGAAGACCCCACAGGCTGAGGATTTCTGATGAACCAGCTGTCCTGTGGGAACAGGAAACTATCTAGGTGGCTTGCTCTGCAGGAACCACTACTGATTTTCCCAGAAAAAGGATTTAGGGAAGAGCCAGCCCAGAGTGGCCAGGAACCCTTTCCATTTCCCCAAGACTGCTCCTCATTGTGTACCAGCCCCTTGCTCTCTTGGGCAGCCCCCTTGGCGCTGGAGGCTGGGAGGTCTTCCCACGGTCTGGGATCTGCATCCGCCTCTCCCCTCCTCCCCTCCCTGGGTCCCCTCCTCCCCTCCCTGGGTCTCCTCCTCCCCTGCCTGGGTTCCCTCCTCCCCTGCCTGGGTTCCCTCCTCCCCTCCCTGGGTCCCCTCCTCCCCTCCCTGGGTTTCTAGTTCCCTGACCAGGGGCGGAATCCCGGGCCCCTGCATTGGGAGTGCAGGGTCTGAGCCACTGAACCACCTGGGAAGACCCCACAGGCTGAGAATTTCTGATGAACCAGCTGTCCTGTGGGAACAGGAAGCTATCTAGGTGGCTTGCTCTGCAGGAACCACTAGTGATTTTCCCAGAAAAAGGATTTAGGGAAGAGCCAGCCCAGAGTGGCCAGGAACCCTTTCCATTTCCCCAAGACTGCTCCTCACTGTGTACCAGCCCCTTGCTCTCTTGGGCAGCCCCCTCGGTGCTGGAGGCTGGGAGGTCTTCCCACGGTCTGGGATCTGCATCCCCCTCTCCCCTCCTCCCCTCCCTGGGTCCCCTCCTCCCCTCCCTGGGTCCCCTCCTCCCCTCCCTGGATCTCCTCCTCCCCTGCCTGGGTTCCCTCCTTCCCTCCCTGGGTCCCCTCCTCCCCTCCTGGGTCCTGCATCCTCCCCTCCCTGGTCCCCTCCTCCCCTCCCTGGGTCCCCTCCTGGGACCCTGCCTGGGTCCTGCATCCTCCCCTTGTGACCCAGACTCTGCTGGGCCAGCCAGCCAGGCAGTAAAAGGAGATTGATGCCCTCGCCTCCTAGGAAAATCCATCACTTTTTGGCATGTGGGTCAGATGGCTTCACCAGAGGCAGCTCTGAGTTGCGCAGTGTGAGCTAAAAATAAACACACCAAAAAGGTCCCGATAGCCGTGTGGGTGTCTGAAATGGAAATGGCCCACTCCCGCCACTCCCTGGGGCCCACTCAGCGCCCTTTCCTCCCACACTCATCCCCACCTACACCCTTCTCCTGGGGGCCTCCGGGGTGGGTGGGTGGGGGAGGGCTCCTACTCTTTCCCTCGGGAAATGCTGCCCTCCATCCAGGAACGGGCAGGGTAAGAGAAGTCGGGCCAGAGTAGAGGAAGGGGGAAGACGGAGGGTGAGCTTCTGGGGACCGACTGTCTCCTCCACAAAGCGGAGAAGGACACAAGAAAGGCAGCTTCAGGTAACAGAAAGCACACAGACTCAGGAGCCAGAGGAAGAAGAGCGAGTCCTTTGGCCATGTTTTAGCTCCGCCAGCTTGGGAAAGTTACCCGCCTGCCTCCATGTTCTCATCTGTGAAAGGGGTGCAGTCACACCTACCTCAGTGTTATCGTGAGAACGGCATGTGGAGCAGATAACAGGACTGGGAACCGATGAATCCCTTCACCTACGTCTTCTTCCCCTTTGGGTTCAGAGAAAGAAGCTGTGCGGACAGAGGTCTGGGATCTTTTCCCAAGCAAGGATACTGGAGTAAGTAGCCATTCCCTCCTCCAGGGGATCCTCCTGACCCAGGGATCGAACTCAGTTCCCTTATGTCTCCTGCATTGGCAGGTGGTCCTTTACCACTAGCACCACCTGGGAAGCCTGGGCTCTTAACTCCGGAGATTTGGAGGGAGCATCGAGAAAAGGCCTCCTCTACTCTGCTGCCACAAGACTTGTCTGAATCTTCCCAGGCTGGTGATTCTTGCTGCCAAGGGAGGGAGAGGAGGAGGGTTCTGAGACATGCCTCGGGCTCAGCAGCTGGGAAACAGGGCCCTGCCCTCCATAGACATTCTCCCTTCTCATTCCGGACTCACTGTGGACCAGAGTCAGAAGCTGGGGAAGAGGGTGAGGAGCTGGGGAGAGCACCCAGCTCAAAGTTGGACTTAAGGACCCAGGACCATATTGGGTTCTCCAAACAGTTCTTTTGAGTTTTCTGTAATAACTTACAGAAAAATGCAACTGAACTTTTTGGCTAGCCCAATATATACTGTGGGCTTACCAGATGGTGCTAATGGTCAAGAATCCACATGCAATTCAAGAAATGAGATACAAGTTGGATCCCTGGCTTGGGAAGATCCCCTGGAGAAGGAAATGGCAACCCGGTCCAGTATTCTCATCTGGGAAATCCCATGGACAGAGGAGCTTGGCGGACTGCTGTCCATGGGATCACAAAGAGTCACATGACTGAAGTGACTTAGCATGCACAATAGCCCCGAGGCAGCTGCCAGCCCCCGTTTTGCACGACCGAGTTACTGAGCGCACGGTGTATACTGCAGCCCTGTCTTTGTAGAGGCGTGTCCAGAAAGTAAGGAATCTAGAGAGTCGTGGTCTCTCCATTGTGAGGATGAGGGCTGGAAGCTCTGAGAGGGGGCTTGATGAAGCCACACAGGTAAGTCCAGGATTGCAGGCCTCCTCCTGGTCTTTGAGCAGTGATGCCTGGCTCATATCTGGGGGGGGTGGAACTTGTTGAGGCCAGTCTGTTAAGGTGAGCATCAGTCATCAGCTGGCTGAATCCTCACCCCACTCATGTCAACCTATTCCGCTGGTTCTCAAAGAAGTGTTCATAGTGGGAGAGAGCCAGGTCCTGACCCAGGTGCCCTTGACTTCCCATTCCTGACTGATCTCTGTGGGTTCAGAGGTGCAGGCATGGCCTTAGGAAACTACCATCCTGTTATCCCTATCTCCACTCTTAGGCCCCACCAGGACGCTCGTCTCTTGGGACCTGTGCGTTATCAGTAGTCACCTGGGAACGACTGTGCAGCAATGAGCAGATGGTCTCCCTGGAGAGGTCCTGACCTCTCATTTTCTCTCGGTGGGAGACCCTTAGCCTTCCCCTTCAAGGCCAAAATATCCTATTCCTCAGAGGCTGGGAAATAGCGGCAAAGGGTGTGAAAAGGGAACCGATTTTTAATTCCCTTTCTGTAAAGATGGGGGCAAAGCCCCGCAGCATGTGGGAGCTCCCCAGCCACCCCATGGCCCGGGAGCCTGCAGGGATGTCTTGCTGAGAGGAAAGAAAATGGTATGTAAATGCTTCCACCCACAGATCCCAGAGGACAGGTCGTCTGGGACACAGCAGGGCTACCAAGTATTCTGATAGGAAAAAAAAAAAGATCTGTGTAATCTGTTGTAAAAAGAATCGCCCCCTCCCGCCCCCACCAAGCCAAACACTAACCCAGGCCCTGGGGGCCACCTGCCTCTCTGGTCCTGTGCCCCCTCGCCCTGGGGGCCAGTCTGCCCTGGTCCTCTGTCTCCAGCTTTCAATTTTTTGACGAGGTCATTTGAGACAATGCTCTTTCCTGGCTCTGTAACGCTCTTCATAAAGTGAATGCAGGTATTTAATGAGCTTCTGCCTGTTGAACGATGAATGGAAAGGTCGTGAGTAATCTCCGGCTCGCTCCTCCCGCCGCCCCGTCATCAGCTCACTTCTTGTACGATTTCTTCGAAGCATTCTTTCCAAATAGGTAGGAGGGCTGAGGTCACAGCTTTGCTTCCTCCTGGCTGACAGACTTTAATTAGTTTGCTAAATTAGCCAAGATAGTAGCAGTCCTCTCTCTCTGCACAGACCCTGGATCTGGGGAGGTCTCTGGACTTATGTTCTTATTTCATTGTTTTTTTTTGTTTTTTTTTTTATCTCTTAGAAGAGAGGGATTCTCACATAGAGGCTTCCCCCAGATAATTTTAACTTCCACTTTGTGGATTCTGTCGTGAACCAGACACTGTGCTATAGGAGCATTATAGACATTATAACAAGAGCCAGTGTGGTGTGTCTGTGTTTGTGTGTGTGTATCTGTGTGTGTGTGTGTGTGGGGGGGGGTGGGTACCAAGACCCTGGGCTAAACTCTTCATACGAATTATCTCAAATAATCTTCCCAAGAATTCGGGGAGGAAGGTATTGGTGTTCATTTGTTTACAGGAGAAGACACAGAGGCTCTGAACTGAAATAACTTTCCCAAGGTCCGAAACCCACAGGGAGGAAGAACCAGGGTTTTGGTTTTGGGTCACCCAGGGCAGCTCATGGACCCACAGCACGCAGACATCACCTGAGAGCTTATTAGAGATGCCGAATCTCAGATCCACTTGAGTCAGGACCCATGCGGTGCCCAGAGGACTCCTGTGCTCAGTACTTTTAGCCAGTTATGCCTGAATCCTGGGTATTAAAGACTACTGACTCTGGTTTCCTGGTTTCCAGCCGAGGCAGCTGTGATTTAGAGAGCTTCGGGGCTAGTCAGCTAAAGCCGAGATTTGATTCTGGTTAAGACTCCAATCACTGCATGTTGCCCATTTTCACAGCCAAGTTAAGATGCTGGAGCTGGTCTGGCCCCGCCGTGGCCTCCGAGGCGGAGCTCCCTGCCCTGGACCTCTGTGCCCCCCGGGCCCTGAGCCTCCGAGGAGAGAACGAGCACCCGAGACTGACCTGGCTGCTCTCCTCTGTCCCCTCCCACAGACGTGCAGCACATTAAAAGGAGGGACATCGTGCTGAAGAGAGAACTGGGCGAGGGAGCCTTTGGAAAGGTCTTCCTGGCCGAGTGCTACAACCTCAGCCCCACCAAGGACAAGATGCTCGTGGCTGTGAAGGTAACGCTCAGAGGCACGTGGGCCCCCGGAAGGAAGAGGGGTGTGGCTGTCGGCCATGGGGGTGGGAGAGAGAGGCTCGCTACATTCTGGAAGGTGGTATCAATGAACATTATCAGATGCAGTCAAGATAGTATAAATTGACGTAATCAGATGCGCTTGCTCCAAGGTCCATGAAGTTTCCTCTGGATCCTATGGCTTTGGAGGGAGGGCTATGCCCGAGGTGCAGCTGGAGGGAAAAGTGATGCCCATGATGGACCCTGATTTTATTCTGGAGGCCCTGGGCTCACCCCTGTCCCCCGCTGACCCTCTTCCCTTCTCAGTGACTTTATAGGATGTCCTGTCCACACCCAGAAGTCATCTGATCATTCCTCCCGAGTACAGTTGCATGAGGGATGGGTCGCTCATGGAGGCCCCAAGAGCCACTGCTCACGGCAGCAAACATCACAGGGAATAGGAGGTGGGCTGGTGGAGTCAGGTGCTGAGCCTAGGCAGGAGAGTGGGTGAGGTTGGAAGACATGCTTGGCCACCTCCTGGGATCCAGGTTCAGCCCCCAGGGGACGGCATGCCTGAGGGCTACTGTCTCCTGGCAGATGCTTACTTAGATCTGTGAACCCCGGGGTTTTTGTGTTGCTGGGTCAGCTGTGCAGATTTGCAGCGAGCCGAATAGCCTGGGGCAGCAGGCAAAGCACTTTGCTCCTGCCAGGTACCCTCCCCCACCCTTGCTCCAGCTTCTGTCAGTCAATGTTGGACAAATCTTTGAACCTGATTGACACAGACAAGAATCAAGTAGCCTCGCTGAGGCACCCACGGGTCTGGGGAGCCCTGGTCTGGAGTGTGGAGTGGGCTCTGCGGGGGTGGGTGCAGTGAGCAGGTCTTTGAGGCTGGAATGAATTCTTTGAGGCTACCAGTCCATGGACAGAGGACTGGTAGCCGGAGATACCCTCCCCACGAGGACTCTCGCCAGGGCCTCAAAACGTGCCTCCTTAACACTGAGGGCTCTGACCAAGCCGCTCTCTTGATGGAAGCTGGATGTTTCTGTGGCTTTGGGGATCTCTGTATTAATAATCTGGTATGTCTGCAGAGAGTAAGTGCCCTCCGTAGATGCAGACAGTGCTGTGTGGGCTACAGGCACAGAATGGGAATCAGAGGCCTGGTGGGCATCTAGCCATCACTGATTAGCAGTGTGACCTTGAGGTTTAACCTCTTTGAGCTTCAGTTTCCTTATCTGTATAATCAGTTCAGTTTAGTCGCTCAGTTGTGTCCGACTCTTTGAGACCCCATGGACTGCAGTGCGCCAGGTCTCCCTGTCCATCACCAACTCCTGGAGCTGCTCAAACTCATGTCCATCGAGTCGGTGATACCATCCAACCATCTCCTCCTCAGTTGTCCCCTTCTCCTCCTGCCTTCAGTCTTTCCCAGCATCAGGGTCTTTTCTAATGAGTCAGCTCTTTGCATTAGGTGGCCAAAGTATCCAAGCTTCAGTTCTAGCATCAGTGCTTCCAATGAATATTCAGGATTGATTAACAGGAGATATAATAGCTCTTCTTTACAATTTTGGTGATTAAATTACATAACATGAAAAATGTTTCGTATAGTGCTTGGGATACAGTAAATATTAGGAATGAGTCATTGCTATTTGTTTTTGTCAACATCATTATACTTTGTTTTTAAGGTTCTTTTGTTCATTTTGTTTTTTAGTCTCTAGGTCACATCTGACTCTTTCTCGATCCTATGGACTGTAGCCCTCTAGGCTCTTCTGTCCATGAGATTTTCCAGGCTAGAATGCTGGAGTGGGTTTCCGTTTCCTCCTCCAGGAGATCTTCCCAACTCGGGGATCAAACCCACATCTCTTGCATTGTAGGCGGATTCTTTAGCACTGAGCCACCAGGGAAGCCGTTTGTTCGTTTACTTATTTATTATTTATTTTTTGACCTTGTGGAAGGTGAGATTTTAGTTCCCTGACCAGGGATGGAATCTGAGCCCCCTGCAGTGGAAGTGCAGAGTTCTAACCACTGGACCAGGAAGGAAGTCCCAACATCATTATTCTTGATGTTCATAGTAGCCAAATGTGCTTAGACATGTGACATATGACCTGCCAAGCTTGCATTGACCATCTAGAATAGGGGTTGTTGAACTTCTTCTCTAAAAGCCAGATAGTAAAAGTTGTAGGCTTTGAGGACCATAGGAGCTTCCTTACAGCTACTCAATTCTGTCCATGTAGTGCGAAAGCAGCCTAAACCATCCATAAATAAATGGGGGTGGTGGCTGTCTTCCAATACATTTTTTATTTTTTATAAGAGTGGATATTCCCTGTCTACCTCTGCTTTAGAAAATAAATAAGGAACTAGCATATTGTCCCATAAAAGGCTAATGCCTATTATTGCTGGCTCTCATGAATAAACTTGCTCAGTGTTTCTCCATAGACGTGGGGTGGTCAGAGGAGCAAGGGTGTCTTTAAACTGCTTGGACCAGGAGTGTGGAGTTGTCTCTACACTTAGAATCTACCCTGCCCTAAAATTTTTAATTTATAGGATGACAGTCCTCCACTGGGTGTTCCAGCATCTGTCTGGGGACTGGTGAATGAACTGAATAATTTTGCGCTTTGAACAGGAAATGAAATAATGTCGTCAACCCTGGGAAGCGTTTCCCACTGCATGTTGTGGCGTTAAAGGGCACTGCCCAGACTGGGTAATGCAGAAAATGTGTTTCTGTTTTCATCCTTTTAAAATGGTTTCCTTTCCTGCTTGGGTCTGGGAACCTTGAGGAGATGAATGTCCTGGGATTTTATGCCATTTGCCACATGATGGAGCCACCCAGTGCCCAGCCCTTGGAGAGACACTCATTGTCTCTGGAGAAGAGCCAGGAAATGGTGCTTCCTGCTTCTCATCCTCTCTAGATTTTACTCCTTTCTTCAGACTCCTTCCCATTGAGTCTGTTCTCAGGTTGAGGCAGAGTAATTGTGGACTTCCAGAGAACACTTCCAAGAATAACCTCAAATTAAGTTTTCCCACAATTGCGGTTTTTAAAGCAAGAATTTATTTATTTATTTTTTTGCCCAGCAATTGCTCTGGTGGAAACAAAGAACAGAAATCCCAGTCTCTGTTCTAAAGACTGTTGGGGAGACAACAAGAGAATACCCATGAAAGAAACAGAGCGCAGAACAAAGCAGTGTGATTTGTATATATGTGTGGTGTAAGAGTGACATTAGAAGCATTTTAAATTTTTTATATTTTTAAATAGGTGGTGCCACCTTTAAATAGTTATTTGACAAGCAATAGAATTGCTCAAAAGAGTTTCCTCTGACAAATAGCTGATAAGAATATGAGAAAGGTGTCCAGCATTATTCATCATCAGAAAAATGCAAATTGAACCAGAATGAGATACCACGGTAGGTGAAGCAGAATGGCTAAGTAGCAATGACAAAACAAAGTGCTAGCAAGGATATGGAGCATTTGCAAATTTCATACTCTGGTGAAAGTATAAAGTGGTCTAATTGTTTTGAGGAACAGCTTGGTATTTATTTTAGAACATTAGCATCTGTGTGACTCAGCATTTGCACTCTAGGTCTAGACCTGACAGGTTATCTATCTATCCATTCATATAACTTCCTAACAATGTGCCACAAAATTAAAAGACACTTACTCCTTGGAAGGAAAGTTATGACCAACCTGGACAGCATATTGAAAAGCAGAGACATTGCTTTGTCAAAAAATGTCCGTCTAGTCAAGGCTATGGTTTTTCCAGTGGTCATGTATGGATGTGAGAGTTTGGACTATAAAGAAAGCTGAGTGCCAAAGAACTGATGCTTTTGAACTGTGGTGTTGGAGAAGACCCTTGAGAGTCCCTTGGACTGCAAGGAGATCCAACCAGTCCATCCTAAAGGAGATCAGTCCTGGGTGTTCATTGGAAGGACTGATGTTGAAGCTGAAACTCCAATACTTTGGCCACTGATGTGAAAAACCCTGATGCGAAGAGTTGACTCATTTGAAAAGACCCTGATGCTAGGTAAGATTGAGGGCAGGAGGAGAAGGGGATGATAGAGGATGAGATGAGATGGTTGGATGGCTTCACCAACTCAATGGACTTGGGTTTGGGTGGACTCTGGGAGTTGGTGATGGACAGGGAGGCCTGGAGTGCTGTGGTTCATGGGGTCGCAAAGAGTCAGACATGACAGAGCAACTGAACTGACTGACTGACTGAACTATGTATCTATCATCTATATCTGTTAATCTGTCTCACCTCTATCTATCTATCTAATGTATGCATCTATCTAATCTATTTATCTAGTCTCTCTACCTACCTACCTATGTATATATCTATTATCTATATCTGTTGATTTCTCTATCTCACCTCTATCTATCTAATTGCCTATTTATCTATGGAGAGATATGTTTAAGAATGTTCATAAGCATTCTTTATAATAGCTCAAAGCTGGAAACAACCCCAGTGTCCATCGGTAGCAGCACAGACAAATAAATGTGGTATAGTCTTTCAGTGGGAAACTCTTCAACAAGGAAAATGAATGAACTATAGCTACATGCAGCAACTTGGAAGAATCTCAAAAACAGTGTTGAAAGAAAAAAGACAGATACAGAAATATATTATATATGCATGGATACATGTGTGATTTGACATATTTAAAATAAAAAAAATAAGTACAACTAAGCTCTAGTGTCTAGGGATATGTGTAGCTCTTCACATGTAATAAAATGTGTTTCATTATATTAATAAAATTTGAAATTGAACTATCTCCACTCTAATAAAAGAAAAAAGGAAATGGAAAGTAACAAAACCCCTAGACTGGAAAAGATGATGTGAAATGACTCTGAAGGTGTTGAGAAGTGTTGAGAACTTTGAATGTTCTGGCCATCAAGGAGATGGCTTCCTTCCTATCCAACTAACAGGACCACTGACACCCAGAGCTGGGAGTGAACATGTGACTTGATGTACATAGATGAGAGACTGGAAAAGCAAACGTCTTCAGATTTGGGGGGTGGGGGGTGGGGAGAAGGAGCTAGGAAGGGAAAATTCCAGCTCTTCTCATTGCACTATGGATACTACAGGAAGGGTCTAGCCAGCCATCTGCCTGGCTTCAGGGACTCCTTGGGAGCCCTGTCTCCCTGAACTAACAGTTGGCAGCAGCAAGGAACCCCTGCTCCCTCCCATACCCCTGGCTGGTGAGTGACCCATCATGAAGTTTCCCAGCTTTGAAGAAGATGCTGAGAGGCACACAAGAGTCTCTGAACTGATTTTCCTCCTCAAGATTCCTCTCCTGGCATCTCTGTCCCTGTTGTGTCAACCCCTGGGGACCTGGGCCACTTGCAGCTCTGGACTCCAGTTGCCAAAACAGACCCCTTGCCAATTACACAGGAACTTCAGGTTTAATCTGGGAGAGCTGGAAAGCCCATCATGAAGGTGGAGAAAGAACTGGCAGAAGAAGAGGTGTAGGAAAACTAAGAGAGACAGCAGTTGCCTTGTGCCCCATCTCCCAAATGTGTAACTCCTATCTGCCCTGTGGTTTAGGGCGCCGGCCTTAGGGATGCTGGCTGGCACTGCTCGAGAGCTGAGAACGGAAATATCCAATGGCTGCCAATGGTGTCCGGACTGTGCGAGAGAATGATTTACAAAGATGGAGAGTGGCCATTTGGCTGGCCCCAAATTTGATCTACTTTTCCCTCTCATAAATCCAGGGTTCACATAAATCTTCATATTCTCCCATCCCACCCATGCTGGGTTCCTTTTTTCCCCCTCTTCTTATGCTTCATGAAAATAAATAAAACACTGGCAGTCATCCTATACATACCCACACCCCAGCTCATGCAGCTCAGGACCTGGGTCACGGAGAGAGGTTTCCTGTCACCACAACACTCTGCCTTCTTCTGTAGCAAAAAAGCTTTGCACACCTCTTTGTTCTGGTTGGATGTGAACCCAAGGCAACTGATGCCTTTAGTATCAGGTAGCTTTTCTGAGAAGGCAGCCAGAGGTGAAGCAGAAAGCACATGAGATAAGAGCTGGTAAAAATCAGCAATGGACCAGGGGCCCTCCCACTTCCCTTTGACCTTTGCCCGCCTTATAAGCCTGGCATCCTTGTCAGACCCCTTCATTCTGCTGGCAGCCCACACTCTTCACCTTTCCCGACCCTCTCCTCTGCCCTTTCACAGTTTTTAATTTCTGTGCCCTTCATTCCCCTGGGGACCTGCCCACTGACTTAATTGATCTGATAAATTAACTCAAGCAGGTGAGCTGGACAGGAATGTATCCTGGACTTCATGCTCAAGCTATTACATCTTGAATGATCTTTGGCAAATCACTTCCCTGTTAGGGACCTCAGTTTTCTCACCCATAAAATGGGAAAGCTGTATGAAGTGACTTCCAATACTGTGGTCAACATTAGGATCATTTACTCCAACAGATTTTTGGTGAAAACTCCAAGTGTGGAAAAGAAGGAAGGGTGGTGCTTGTTGACTTTGGAGTGGGCCTTGATCACTGGCTGAGAGACCATGGCCCTAAAGGCATTGCCATTGAACTTTGAGACATCAATGAAGCCCAACACCAAGAGATTACTGTGGTCTACTTAAACTCTTAGCTTCTGTCATTTAAGATGTGTGAATGTGTGCTGATCCCCAAACAGGATGGAGAGTCAGTTTTTCCAACATCAGAAGTGAACAGGTGGAAACCAATGATGATATCTAGGGCCCTTTTAAAGCTGTGAGCCCATCATCTCTAATGTATGCTAATGACTGATGGAGGTTTGATGGGCCCCCTTGATACAATTTTCACACATTCACATTCCTGCCACGCTGTAAGCCAAGGCACCCCCGTGGATTTCAGCTAATGGGGGTTGCCGTGGCAAGAAAAAGATGTCTGGCTAGGGAGGCTTTTCACTAGTAGCATCATCGATGGAGGAACTTAGCCTGCCTAAATAACCAGAAAAGGCCATAAACTGGCAGAGGGAATGAAAACCAATCTCCTGTTAGATTCTCACTACCCTGAAAATGACATGTGAAGTGCACACCCATTCCTTCATTGCCTCATGTCCTGTCTCTTGGGGTTACTAAACTTTGTCAGTTGAAGCAAGTGGATTTTTGGCTCCATTTGCCTTCTGACCTCATGCGGAGGGGAAGGAAGGCTGAAGGCGTATGTGAACACACCTGCCCAGGCGGCTCCTCCTGCGGAAATGTCCCTCCCCTTCACAGTTCATTGTTCGCCATGGCCAGCATTGCTGCACCCCCAGGGCAGTGCCCTATTCAAGGTCCCTTGGATGTGTTCTGGCCTCGCCTTCCCTTCTGGTTTTAGAAAGTCCATGTTCACTGACCATCTGTTTTTTTTTTAAGTCTTTATTGAATTTGTTACCACATTGCTTCTATTTTATGTTTTGGTTTTTTGGCCATGAGGCATGTGGGATCCTAACTCCCTAACCAGGGATCGAACCCACGCACCCTGCATTGGAAGTTGAAGTCTTAACCACAAACAGGACCACTAGGGAAGTCCCCGGATAACCCTTTGGAGCATTGCTCTTCCATTTATCTTCCTGGGTCCCAGGGCAAGGGGCCTGGTCTAGTGCTTCCCCTGCATACCAGGTTTTCCAAAATGGGCCAAGGTGTGACATTTCTGTGGCCACCAGCTGCCCACCATCCCATCCTACCCTGGGACTTCCCGGGGTAGGCCAGATCTGCTTCAGGCCCTACTCCTGGCTGGGTCCTGGGGCTTTTGCCCATTGAATGCCATTTCCACAGCTGTAGTCTCCCTTACCCCCCCAATGCTTCCATCTACAAGGAGGATGCAAATGCCTTTATAGAAGCCAAGGTGTTCATGTGCATGCATGTGTGCTAAGTTGCTTCAGATGTGTCCGACTCTTTTGACCCCACAGACTATAGCCCACCAGGCTCCTCTGTCCATGGGATTCTCCAGGCAAGACTGCTGGACTGGGTTACCATGCTCTCCTCCAGGGGATCTTCCCCCCTCCCTCTCCAGGGATTGAACCGACGTCTCTTACGTCTCCTGCATTGGCAGGAGGGTTCTTTACTGCTAGCACCACCTGGGAAGCCCCTTTGTTTCTCTATAAATATTCACTTCTTCACAATCTAAAATCAAGGAATAGAAAGAGTAAGGAAACTTAATTATGTTGTCAGCCTGATTTCAGATGGGCTGTGGGTATAGGTTAATTTGCAAAGTTAAAACAATTGGGGACAGTGGTTTCCCCACTGTTTCTTTTAATTGTGAGACCATTTCTTCAAGGAAATCTTCGGGGATGGGAGTTGTCAGGTATCCCACCTTCCAGTTCCCTCCCTCCTCTGTCATTCAAACTTATCTCAGAGGAAGCCTGGGGCTTCCTAGCTGGTGGATGTGCCATAGGTATCAGAAAGCTGGCTTCTGTTTCTGTAAGGTTCACAATGCTGAAGGAAGCAGGAGTCAGGCCTGGCCTTTGTGACTTAGCCTCGTGGTCTTTAAAGCTCGATTAAGATCTTACTTGCTGGGGATCAGCATTGTGTTTAGGATGGGCACCAGCTTTCTTCCCAAGAAGAAAATAGACAAGCGCCCGCCCTCTAGTTGCTAATAACCAATGTCCCATGTTGTTTCCAGGCCCTGAAGGATCCGACCCTGGCAGCCAGGAAGGATTTCCAGAGGGAAGCCGAGCTGCTCACCAACTTGCAGCATGAGCACATCGTCAAGTTCTACGGGGTGTGCGGTGATGGGGATCCCCTCATCATGGTCTTTGAGTACATGAAGCATGGAGACCTGAACAAGTTCCTCAGGTACGCCAGGACGGCCACCTCCTCCTGTCACCCTCACTGAATCCCTTGCATTCTCTCTGGAGCCAGAAGTCCCGTTGCTCCTGCGAACACTTCAGTCTGGGGATTAGAAATGAGAAGCAGCCTTTCATTCTTCTACATTACCTGCTGAGCAGTTGGATGTGGGCCTTTGCCCCTGATTTCTAGGGAGGGAAGTTGAGGATGCTATGAAAAGCAACCTGCACTCTTCTTCCCGATTCTCAGGTAGACTGAGAAGAAGGGTGAGGTCTGGAATGGCTCCAAGGAGGGAGCACAGAAGGACTGCCAATGTGCAACTTCCAACTTTAAGATTCTAAAGGGCCAGTCTTTCCCCTGATGTTCTGAATAGCTTTCTGACTTTATGTCTTATGTTCTCACTTGCAAAGTGAGACTAGTCCCTACCACACCTCCTGAAAGCCTCCTTGTCAGAGATTTTTTGATGATGAATAAGAAAGGACAAGGTTACAAACTCATGGGGAGACAGATGGTTGAAAAAAAGGGCAGATTTTCCCCCAGATAAATTTAGAACTGTGCTATCCAGTACAGTAGCCATATATGGATATTTAAATTTAAATCTACAATGACTAAATTTAAGTAAAATGTAAAAATTCCTCTGTCTCTCCAGCCACACTTCAAGTACCCAGTATCACATGTGACTAGTGGCTACCATATTGGACAGTGTGGTACAGAGCATTTCCATTAATAGAAAGTCCTGTTAGCTGGCACTGTTCTATGAGGATTGGATTTTTTTGTAAAAAGGGTTTCCCCAAGCCTGGAGCAAGATCATCTGGATTTTAAGAGGCTCTTGATGGAGCTTCTAAGAGACTAGAACCCCAGTCAGAAGTGCTGAATGGAGTTACAAGTGGGGGTTGGGAAGATGTGAAATCTACCTTCCCCAGAGAAGATAGCATCTCACCAATAGAGCAGAGTTAGCATTTCTCTGCCTGCTACATTCTGCTGTCTCCAATTACTGCCCAGAAGTGGAGGGAGCAGGCACGTGTGAGAGTGAGATCCAGGGTCTCAGAAAACACATTGAACACTCAGGCCCTGGATGCTTTTAGGGTGTGGTCTTTGCACAGTCAACTTTTGAGTTCTACTGCTGAGAATGAGATTTCCAGAGCTCATGTGTAGCTTATGGTAAACTCTAGCACACTCCCCTAAACCTGATGAGCGCCTCCTTGAAGGGGGACATTCAAATGAGTGCTGTGCTTTGAAGAGGGAATGGAAAGGGTGGGTACCAGGTTTCTAAAACTGGCCCTAGAGGATTTGAAAGTATCTATAGGATATTCTAAACCTCCTAAACTTGGTTTCACAGTGAAATTTACTCCTTTCCTGAAGAACTGAGTCCTTAGCATGAGACAGACTTGGGTTCATATCATGGGTATGTCTTAGTGATGTAACCTAGAACAAGTTATTAACTCTTAAGTCTCTCCTGGAACACAGGACTATTCATAACTGCTTCACATGTTTGTTGTTATGAGTATTCAATGACTATACTTGTGTAAAGTCTGGACGAGTGTTCAGTCAATGGTAGCTACGACTAAAATTATTGCAATATTATTTTATCAGAACTGTGAACCATGATAGTTTCTAAAACAAACAGCATCTTTTCTTAGTACCTGAGATCTTCCTCTGCCTGTGCCTTCATTCCCCTGAAGTCAAGGGACATGTTCCATTTTTCCATCCAACCCTCCACACTGATTCGATGGTGCCTTCAGCCCTAAGCAGCCCCACCAGCAAGGCTAAAGAGAGGTCCTGAGTGCTGCTCTGTGCCCCTGTCATGCCCACTCTATGGGAAGAGGAAGAGGAAGAAAAAGAGGGGAGAAGGTCCTTCCTGCTCTCGCATCTCCCATGTGGTGGGTTTTAGGGACTCCAGTGCATTCTTCCAGTAAACCGGAATGGAGCTTGTCTGCTGGTCCATCTTCCTCATGAGCTAATGCAGTTGCTCTCCTCTAGAGGCACAAGGGAGGCAGAACCCACAGGAGATAATAAAATGAACGTGTTTATATTTAACGGTGCCTTTCAGTGGAAATTGGAGAAGCAGTAAAACAGGCCAAGGCTTCTCTGTACAGTGGGGCTCTTTGGCTCACAACTTCATAAATAAGGGCCTGGGCATGGTTACGGCTCACTGGGCTTTCTGGAGAAAAGATGAACACTAAAAGTGACTGATATGACAGGGCAAGGTGTTTAGATAGCAAATTGGGATGCAGTGGGTGCTGTGGCTCCCCAGGTCTTTGCCTAGGGTCACAGGCTCTCTTCTTCGTGTCCTGCCATCCACAGAAGTTGCCCGGTCCCTGGCAGGTGAGTGGGGAGATTAGGAGTGTAGACTGGAGTAGTGCTACCCACAGTGTGGACTGTATCACTACTGGAAGCATCATTATTGAGAGCTTGCAGGAAATGCACCTGAAAGAGCTCTACCCAGCCAATCAGAACCATAGGGGGCGGGGCTCAGGAATCTCTTTAACAAGCCCTCTGAATGCTTAAAGTTTAAAAGTCTCCTCCAGAGTAATTAGCCTCCAAATAATAAAAATAAATGGAAAAAAAAAATAAATAAAAATCTCCTCCATAGTCACGTGGCACCCATGCGGCCACTGCGAGACTTTGGCCAGATGATGGACCTGTTTCCTTATCTCAAAATTGGGAGAGGGGGGAAGATTAAGGGAATTAATACATTACAGATACATAGAGCTGTGCATGGAACATAGTCAGGGTTATGTAAGTGTTAATTATCATTTTATTAATTACTCTATAGTAGACATGAAGGAACTGGGAAGCCCCTGGATGGCAGTAAAATATCCAAGAGTACGTTCACTCCTTGATTCATTAAAGTGAATCTGCTGTCTTCTTAGTTGAGAATCTTAATTGCCATATTTCACCCTGATCAGGCTCACATAATGGAATTTGGGGTAGATAGAAATAGGCCACAAGGAGGCTGAGAAAAGAGATTTCATTCGTCTCTGTGGTGCATTCCAGAGATGAGGGAATCAAGAAGGCATTTCTCTTCGATCTGAACTCTCTGCTCCCTCCCTTCTCCTCCTACCCGCACCCCTACAGGGCCCACGGGCCAGATGCGATGATCCTTGTGGATGGGCAGCCACGCCAGGCGAAAGGCGAGCTGGGGCTCTCCCAGATGCTCCACATTGCCAGTCAGATCGCCTCCGGCATGGTGTACCTGGCCTCCCAGCATTTTGTGCATCGCGACCTGGCCACCAGGAACTGCCTGGTTGGAGCCAACCTGCTGGTGAAGATTGGAGACTTCGGCATGTCCAGAGACGTCTACAGCACCGACTACTACAGGGTAAGGGGCTTCTCCAGATGCAGCATCCGTGGCCCAGCTCGCACCTCGCTCACATGTCTTTGTCATTGTCCATTAACCCTGTTACTCTGGAGCACATGCATACACTCCTGTGCCCAGGTATACACTTGATGCTTATCCTTTGGCCATGCCTGCATCTCTACATACCTGTCAATTATTCTCTTGATAGCTTACTCATCTCTTCCACCTGGATAGGAATACTCGACTATATCCTTACATTGCAATGACATATGCACTGTGTTCTTACATCCATCAGTACTCATTCTTCATGTAAACTGATACAAATATATACATATATATATATATATATATATGCATATATATATATATCCCTCAATGCACACATGGACAAGCTCAACTTGATGCTACATTTTAACATCTTTCAACGCGGTTCCCTACCCAGCCTCACCCACAGCACATTATTGTTCTTTAATATTATCTGGTGACCATATAGGCTTGTTTGCAAAGATAGATCTCAATGAGAAGGCAGAAACCAACATAAAGAATGAAAATGGTTAGTGTATTGCTGAGCAGAATTATCCAAATGGTATAGGAAAGATGAGTGAAGGAAGCAGGTTCTCACTGTCAACTTTGGAGACAGTTGCAAATGGGCCTTAGGAGAAGCTGTTTGATGGTGAGAAGAGACATCACATTCAGCTTTACTTCTATACAGTTTTCTACTTTATATTAATAGGTATAAATATATACCTATTTCTTAGCCCCCCCATTTTTCCCCTTAATATTTGAGAATCTTCTTCCCATGGATCATGGAGTGGTTCTGACAATGTTATTATTGCCAGGGAAAGGATGAGTGGGCATGAGTGGCAATTTTTCCTGAAAGGAGAAATATGGGTGCAACCTGTATACAGAGATATAATAGCTTCTGCATATTGATTAGAGAGTCAGATGCTTAAAATACATGGGGGATTTACTTTAGGGACTTTGAATGGATGAGGAGTTTGGATGGTATATAAGGAGAGGATGGTACAATGTTTTAGAAGTTGAGAGACAAGGCAGCAATTTCCCTCATCTCCTTGGTACAGAATGAATGATCATATTGTGAATCAAAGGGCCCAGACAGGACAGTCTTTTTGGCCTGAGCACAATGGGTCAGGGGGCTGGGAGTTTGGGATTGGCATCTGTAAATCAACTCTGTCTGGATGCTCATGATGGCTTTGCCTAAAAAGCATTGCCCAGACATTATAATGGATCATTCAAGACACTTTATCTTACTTCTTTTAACTTTGAATTTTGTATTGAGGCATAGCCAATGAACAATGTTGTGATAGTTTCAGGTGGACAGCAAAGGGACTCAGCCACACATACACATGTGTCCATTCTCCCCCAAACTCCCCTCCCACCAGGCTGCAACGTAACATTGAGCAGAGTTCTCTATGCTATACAGTAGGTCCTTGTTGGTTATCCATTTTAAATATAGCAATGAAGATGCTTTATTTCAGCCATAACCTGGAGAAAAGTGGAATATTTGAGAAACTCCTTTTGTGCCTAAAAATTGACATGTTCATGGTATAACTGAAAGATGGCAGATGATATACAATCATGAGGATATAAAGCAAAGTAGATCAAATAGTAGGGAAGGTAGAATGTCAGAAGAAAGCTACCTTCTGCTGACAGAAGAAACCCTTCTTCTGTCTAGCCACCTGCCCAGTCTTAGCATCCCTAGATTTGGAAAAAAAAGCATGATGTAGTGGCAGGCACAGACTGACGGGCAGGGCAGACCTGCCAGGAAGTATCAAAGTGGAGTCTTTCTTTAGCATCTAGACCAATTTTTTCCAGTTGTTTCCAAGAGAAGCATTGGTGTGGTTACCAAGGGACCATGGGTCATAGATTTCTTGAGTCTAGCTGGAGCTGGCACCATTTAATTGCCTCTGCACTCTGTGTAATGGGGTTTGCTGGCCTGTCTGGCTGAGCTCAGATTTATGTTGGTGTTGATAAAAGCTAGGGACGGATCATTGTTTTTCTGTGTGAGGCGGATGTTTGATTAGACCAATCTGGTCTCCACTGGCCTTTACCAGGATCTTGAGAAACAGTATCTGAACAGCGTGTGTGCAAACTCAGCTTTCAAACTTGCTTTAAGAAGTGCACTTAATATTTCTCCGTTCTGATTTAAAAGAGAGAGAGACAGAAAGAAAGAAAAGATCCTGTTTCCAAATGATCTTGCTTTGCCCTAGCTTAAAAAGTTGTGAACTATCACTCTTTACTCCTGGGAAAGTTACAAGAAGTAAATCTATCTCACTTCTGTGGGCTCTAGGGCAGGTTGGAATTCAAGGAAAGGAGTGAGGTGGGAAAATGTTCTTATACTAGGCAGCCACAGTTCCCTTTTCATGAGGGCTAAGGCAGGGAGGCAGAGGCCAGCTGGCTTGAAAATGTATGATCCCAAGGAAGTATGAAATAAAAAAGGGGAGCTGTTGCAGCCAAAGGGCTTCCTCAGTGGCTCCTGTGGGCTAAGACACTTCAGTCGTGTCCAATTCTTTGAGACCCCATGGACTGTAGCCCTCCAGGCTCCTCTGTCCATGGGATTTTCCAGGCAAGAGTACTGCAGTGGGTTGCCTTTCCCTTCTCCAGGAGATCTTCCCAACCCAGGGATCAAACCCACATCTGTTATGTCTCCTGCATTGGCAGGCAGGTTCTTTACCACTAGCGCTACCTGACAAAGAATCTGCTGGCAATTCAGGAGACTTAGATTCTATCCCTAGGTTGGGAAGATCCCTTAGAGGAGGAAATGGTGAGCCACTCCAGTGTTCTTGCCTAGGCAATCCCATGGACAGAGGAACCTGGTGGGCTACAGTCCATGGGGTCCCAAAAGTCAGACATGACTTAGTGACTAAATAACAACAACATTGCAGTCAAAACACAGCGCTCCATCAGAGAGCTACATACTCCACTGATGGTGGGTAGATATTATACTCTCCACATTCAAAGATCAGCTGTATCATTTCTTCATGTTCAGTTCAGATGCTCACAATGCTCTAATGTGGACACAGCCCCACTCCCACTTCTGTAAAATAAAAGACTTGCCTGAGGTCATATCAGTAATAAACCAGGAAGTCTTATTATTCGTATTGGATGACATCAAGGTGACAAAGGAGGTCTGTGTTGGGTGCAGTCTTACCTGTGTTCACAACCTAACATTGCCATTAGCCGCCATGGAACCTCAATGTGTTTTTCTGAAACCTTTATGTAATCATCCCATTTTTCAAACGAGGACAAACATAGTCTCTCAACTGAGTTGTTTTTGATGTTCAGCAAGTTGATATGCATAAAGAGCCTGGAATACACTTCTAACTGGATAAATTATTGTTTGTTTTCCTTAGTTCCCATCACACCCAAGGCAGGAGAACCTCAGGGATAATCTTACTTCCAGGTGTAATTTTTGGGTCAGAGATAAGGCCCTCCTGACCGCTGGAAAATAAACTGGGATAGTACTGCTCCCCTGAATGAGCAGATCTTTATGTTGACCACGCAGGGAAAATTTCCCTCCCAAGGTTTCAACTTAACCAGTAATACTGGGTCATCAGTACTTGCCTGTTCTTCTGGTCAGTGTTCATAGGTCCTGCTCATGAATCTTAGAGCCAAATCTTAGGTGATTTGTGAAAGATTTTTTGTTTTGTTTTGTTTGGTACACCAGCTGAGACTCCTGGGGAAGGTGGTGATTTATTAGAGAAAAAGACCACTGAAGGACTGTCTCTGTAAGCTGACACCCAGGACGGGTTTGTACCTCTGGGCTACTTACATTACTGAAATCTACTGGGGCTAGAAGTTTGCTGGTTTCTGGTGCCTAACACAGCTTCATGCCTGTGTGCTAAGTCGCTTCAGTAGTGTCCTACTCTTTGCAACCCCATAGACTGTAGACCACCAGGCTCTTCTATCCATGGAATTATCCAGGCAAGCATACTGGAGCGGGTTGCCATTCCATTCTACAGGGCATCTTCCTGACCCAGGGATGAAACCCGCATCTCTGCATCAGCAGGCAGGTTCTTTACCACTGAGCCGCCTGGGAAGCCTGCCTTAGGCAGCCACAGGCATATCACTCTGGTGTCAGGTTCTTTACCACTAGCGCTACCTGACAAAGAATCTGCTGGCAATTCAGGAGACTTAGATTCTATCCCTAGGTTGGGAAGATCCCTTAGAGGAGGAAATGGTGAGCCACTCCAGTGTTCTTGCCTAGGCAATCCCATGGACAGAGGAACCTGGTGGGCTACAGTCCATGGGGTCCCAAAAGTCAGACATGACTTAGTGACTAAATAACAACAACATTGCAGTCAAAACACAGCGCTCCATCAGAGAGCTACATACTCCACTGATGGTGGGTAGATATTATACTCTCCACATTCAAAGATCAGCTGTATCATTTCTTCATGTTCAGTTCAGATGCTCACAATGCTCTAATGTGGACACAGCCCCACTCCCACTTCTGTAAAATAAAAGACTTGCCTGAGGTCATATCAGTAATAAACCAGGAAGTCTTATTATTCGTATTGGATGACATCAAGGTGACAAAGGAGGTCTGTGTTGGGTGCAGTCTTACCTGTGTTCACAACCTAACATTGCCATTAGCCGCCATGGAACCTCAATGTGTTTTTCTGAAACCTTTATGTAATCATCCCATTTTTCAAACGAGGACAAACATAGTCTCTCAACTGAGTTGTTTTTGATGTTCAGCAAGTTGATATGCATAAAGAGCCTGGAATACACTTCTAACTGGATAAATTATTGTTTGTTTTCCTTAGTTCCCATCACACCCAAGGCAGGAGAACCTCAGGGATAATCTTACTTCCAGGTGTAATTTTTGGGTCAGAGATAAGGCCCTCCTGACCGCTGGAAAATAAACTGGGATAGTACTGCTCCCCTGAATGAGCAGATCTTTATGTTGACCACGCAGGGAAAATTTCCCTCCCAAGGTTTCAACTTAACCAGTAATACTGGGTCATCAGTACTTGCCTGTTCTTCTGGTCAGTGTT